ACCCCTTGTTTCCGTTGGTTGTTTTGATGCCCCTCACTTAGCCTATGGGGGTGTGTCAAATGTTTATATATTCTATATATTGTTAGATAGGCTACAGTGAGTTGCCCTCTAAAGGGTACAACACTTTAGGTCGACATTTGTATCTCCTTGTCTCTCCTTACTCAAACATTACTCTCGACACTTGTCTCCTAGCCTATCTTAAGACTCTCATCTGTCATTTGTGCTCACAAATCCAAGGAGTAAGTATGATACATTATTTCAATGGGCATTTGTTCTATACATTACTCTTATTTGCAGTACGGTAGTACCAACCTTCAATGGGATTTTGTAGTGGCTAACCTTGCCACGCTTCACACCCTAAACTGCAGGCTTCTTTGACTAAGCAGAAGTGCACTTCACAGTGTAGTGTAGGCCAGGCCTATACTTGCTTCTCCCGTCTCTTCCTCGGCTTCTGGCCAACAGGCCAGCTGATAGTGATGGGGAAGAAAGGGATGTTCAAGAAAGTGTGATGCATGAGTGGCAGAGTGGGTAGAGGGGGGAAAGTTGGTAAAGGGGAAAAAATGGAATAGGGACAAAACGCACAACTGTGTATACACATGCATACTGTACAGAGAAGTGAGGATTTTGCGGATATAGTTTGTGTGAAAGTGAGTAAATGGCTGGGGGTGGGGAAAGGGCATGGGGAGGGGGCGAGAAGAGAAAGGGGGGAAGAGGGGGGGGAGGAAAGGGATGGGAGGAAGCAGCAAAATCAATAAGCCATACAGAAAGGTAAGCTCTTGGCTCTGCCTTTCCTTCACCCACCCTCTGCCTGTTTCATGCATTCAATGGCCGAATGAGGCACACCAGGAACCACTACCACCTTTTCATCGCTTCGCCTTCTGCTCTTGCACTTGCTCCTCTTCCCATAGCACTCCCTTTCAGCATGCCCTCCACATCGTCACTTTCAGTCCACTCAACATTCCGAGCGACCATGCTCACCATCCATACCTGCCTAAAGCACCACCTTTTCCAGGGAACGCCCACCTGTTTTCACACCGTGGGCGCTTTCATTTCCTGCTGCTGGCATGGCTGGGACGACTTGACCGACCATCCCCGTCCCCTTCTAACCGTCTTCTCTCGCTGCCTGCCGGTGTTTCTCCCACTTGGCGTCTTCACTAGATGCCTCCTGCTTGGCGTCTTCACTAGCTGCCTCCCCCTTGGTGTCTTCCCTCGCTGTCCCCCACTTGGCGTCTTTTCAAGCCGCTTCCCGTTTGGCACCTTGTCTCGCCGCCTTCTAAACGGATTGCTTGCGAGCCGCTTCTCCCACATGATGCGGGCCTCGTCTCCCCTCGCGTGCTTCTCTGCAATGGCAGCCACTCGCTCCGCCTCATTGGGCCACTTCTGGACGAATCAAAAGGCAGAAAGGGGAATGAGCCCAGCCAGTGAGTCGAAGAAGGTAAGCTGCATGTATTCAGAATAATCAATGACAGCCACTCGCTCCCCCTCGTTGGGCCAATTCTGGATAGATTGAAGGGCAGCAACGGGAACAAGGTGGGACCGTGAATGGAAGCAAGGTTACAGCGAGCATCAGGGCAGCCAATGGCAGCCACTCGCTCCGCCTCATTGGGCCATTTCTGGACGAATAGAAGGCAGCAAAGGGAACAAGCCAGGGCAGTGAGTGGGAGCAGGCTTGTGGCGTGTAATCAGAATAGTCAATGGCAGCAATTCGCTCCGCATCATTGGGCCAATTCTGGACAGATTCAAATCAGCAACAGGAACCAGCCAGGATGGTGCGTAGAAGCAGGGTTGCAGCATGTAATCAGAACAGCCAACGGCAGCCACTCGCTCCGCCTCCTTGGGCCATATTTGGATGAATGGAGGGCAGCAACGGGAACAAGCCAGGACAGTGAGTGAAAGCAGGGTTGCAAGAATTAATCAAGACAGCCAAGGGCAACCACTCGATCCGTCTCATTGGGCCATTTCTGGACGAATGGAGGGCAGCAACGGGGACGAGCCAAGACAGTGAGCGGACAGTCAGTGAAAGAGGCAGCAATGTGATCGAGGGCAGGGTTGTGGCATCCAATCAGGACAGTCTGGCAGCAGCAACTTACTTTGTCTGATTGGGCCATTTCTTGTCACGTGGAAATGGAAAGAAAGAGCTGGGCGAGAGGCAGGTTGGGATAATCATAAAGCGACTGGCCATCTGAGGTGCTGCTTGCTTTTGAGGCGCCTTAAACGGTGTTGCTGGAGAGCAGCCCACTGAAATATGCATGTTTTTCCCTACGGGTCTTCGCTCATAGTGTAAAAGCAGCAATGCTGGAGACCAGCTCATTCAAATATGCATGTCTTCCCCTACCGTACCGACCTCCTACTCCCGAATTTACCTGCCGAAATGTTTTATGCCTGTACAGTACTCTCCCCTTTACAAGAAGCTGCGTCATTGGGGCCAGTGCATGTAGACCAGAGCTCCAAATAACCTCCATCTGAAAGAAAATTTGCACGAATCAGAGCACCATTGGCATTAGAGTAGCGGGGTGGACAATGGGCTGTGGTAAGCATTTTCCGTTATGACAAAGCACGGGGAATAAAAAAGTCAACTGCAAGTTGCCTTGCCAGTATTAAAAGGCGGAAGCATGTGCTTACAGTGAAAGTGTGTTGCTGCTTCTTCACACCGTAGCTCTCACTGACCACTCTCCCTGCCACCAACCGAAACTCTCCATGCATTGACTTCTTCTCGTGCCTGCATTTGTCATCAATTGCCATCAGCTGCTATCATTGGCCATCAATTGTGGCCCATGCAGGCACAGAGAAGTCATGAGTAGCAATGAAGATGAAGTAGCAGACAGAGCAGTCATAAGTGAGAAAAATGAGACGATGAGAGGAGATGATACGACGCAGAAAAAGAGGCGAGACTTGTGGTCAACATTGAGACAAACCTGAGACCGAGTTCGAGTTGCGACCGACCTTGAGACCGACCTTGAAACCGACCTTGGGACCGACCTTGAGACCGGCCTTGAGACCGACCTTGAGACCGACGAGACCGACTGTGTGGATATTCGTTGATTGAAGAGAACGACGTCGTTTCTGCAGACGTCACCTGTGGAATTACCATGTCGAAACGGAAAAACGGGAGTTAGAACTTCTGTAAGACTTTAGGATGATGGTGCCAAGGGTTGTGAATAATAGCACGTGTTCAGCGTACCATGAATGAAGGAGTTATCTGGTATATGGACCAGGTTTTAAGAGCATAGAAGAAACCAATATATCAGTCACCTGTACAATTAATGAAGAAGGACGCGTGTGGGTACTGGCGCTTGGCTGATTGAACGTCCTTGATCCTGTCCAGGAGCGAGAAAGATAACGAAAGAATTTTGACTGTATTTCAGCACGGATTGCGAATTTTGACTGTCCAGTATCACATGGGACACATGATGGGCTCTCCTAACTTTTCACGCTTGCATTGCAGATCCCCCCACGCATTGCGAATCGCTAAAGCACGAGACTCTAGCCCGTTCAGCTGAACAGAAGGACGTTCGACTACTCAAGAGCTTGATATCGTTCCCTGACGCGACGAAAGGCTTACTCGTAATGCTTCTGAATGCGAGTGATCAGATCCACGGTCGAGTCGCTCAGCCGCAGACGGTGGTACCTACGCCTTGCAGAGCTCGCTGGTCAGCTTGCTCCACTCTCCCGCTGCAGTGCGAATCAAAGATGCAAATGGGATTACATAATAAAGGATACACTTCAACTGGAAGGTAAAGGGTAGAAGGCAATTTGGATAAAAGGGTATAAGGTAGTGTTGGGGAAGTACCTCGAATCAAGGATAACGCCTTTGCATACGGATGTTTCGAGCTAGCAGGCTGTGGCAACTTGAAGTGGCTTCTTGTTCTCATCCTACTTTCCGTTTGGCTGTCCGTTAACTTTCCGTCATCGTCCACCTCCGACGACTTGTCATCGACATTGTCCCCACTATCGCCGTTACTATCGGCATCGTTGTCACTATCGCAGTTACTATCGCCGTTACTACTATTGGCATCGTTGTCGAGATCCCTATCGCTAAGACTATCACTGTCCTTACTAATATCGCTGTAACTGTCGCTATTCCTACTATCGCTGACACATTCTAAGTCGCTGTCACTTAGCGTTTCATATTCGTCATCACTGAGCGAAATAGCTGTGCATGCGGACCCGCCTTTCGCCATGCGACAACCCTAAACCAATGGTTGACTCGATGTCTGAACATAAATAATTACCAATGAAACAATACCTAAATCTCGTCTAAGAATAAACCAAGTCTAGTGGCTGAACGACATCAAACATGAAGCATAAACGCCGTTATAAGGAACCGTATACTCGGGCGAGCCTACATGCACTGCCTTAATCGTCGGACGCATACTAGCATTCTCAATTCGCAAGCTCGCGAGATGCTAATATGGCAGTCAGTCTCATCACTCATCGCCGTTTGAGACGCCAATCATTCAGCCACGTCAAGCTTGAGAGTCGCCAGTCAGTCGAGAGGGTGTCAGTCAGGTAGGCCAAGGAGAGCGGTGGAAGGAGAAAAAGTAGCTAATGAATCAGCAGCACTCGAAACGCGATGGTTCAGAACCAGCACATGACTGGAAATTCCAAAATTTGAACGGCTACTTTTCAGAAAGCAGCCATGGATCTTGGACTTGACATATCACGGAACCGAAGTTGAAGCGTTTAGTAAAGTCTTACAAGCTACAGCACCGTACTGCACAGCTCCGTGACACATCACTAAGGTATGGCACTGATGTTCGCGAATCATGTTCTCAGAGTGTCGCGAACTGCTCGCACGGGCGGAGTTCAAAATCAACCAACTCCGACTGTGCTGAATGTTACGGGGTTGCTTTGAATAATGAGTACAAATTGCACCTCCATTTTCTAACCAGGCACTCAGCAAATCAGCCATGCAAAAGCAGCAACCCGCCCAGCAGCCCACCCACATTCAAATTAACACTCGGCCACCAATGGCACAATACAACCGCGACCGCTCACTTCTATTTCTTCTCCCCGCTCGCGGCGCTCGCAAGCTGGCGCAGATTCATCGGCACGATCGATTCCTTGCCGCCCAGGAAAATGCTCTTGGCCAGCTCGCGATTGAAGGCCTCGGTGGGATGAAGGCGGTCCCAAAAGATGCTATCCTGGGGGCGGCTGCACGCCGTCGCGGTAACCTTGTAACCACCCACGGTTTCCGTTTTGCCGCACTGCACGAGGCCGTTGAGGGGAGACGGGCCGCCGCAGCACGCGCTGGTTCCGAAAAGGCCAACCGAAGCAGGATCCGCAACAGCGTTTTCCAGAAACAAATACGTTCTTGCGAGGAGAATGTCCGCACCTTTGAGGGTTTTCCGCAGGCCAGCAACAGCAGCAGCCAGCTGCTTGTTATGCTCCTGAGCATACGCGTTCATCGCGCTCACGCACTCCCCCTGCTTCTCCGCCGGCTGCAGCGCCTGTCGCCACAGCGGCAAGCAGCCGAGCGGGGCAATTTCAAACAGCAAGAACCGCCGCGCGCCGCGGCTGTACAGACTCTCCACGTAGGCTTTTAAAGCAGCCACGACAGTCGACGCAAACGCCTGCACTTGCTTCGCGCCTCCCGCGGTGATCCTGGGGAGCGTCGTCTCGTCGATCGTCTCCCCGAAAAAAAGGACGAAATAGTCGTTGGAGCCGAGGCCGACGACGTAAAGCGCGGTGGAGAAGACGGATGGGGTGGGAAGGCTAGCGTCGGCGCCACTCGCGGATTCCATGGCGTCCGCCTGGATCTTGTCGAACCACTCCAGCTGCTGCGCCGCCTGGAAGGCGGGGAAGGTCTGGCGGAAGGGATTGGGGGGGAAAGGGGGACGCAGGGACGAAGGGAGGGAGGCAGGCGGCGGAGAGAGGAGAGGAGGGAACAAATTGAGCTGTTCTGCAGCTGGGCTGTTGGTAGCGGGAACGAGCTGTTAAATTGTACTAACTTCTTATTGATAAGTTTCATTCGTCAGTGCTGAATATGTGCAACGTGTCGATAAGTTTCAGTCGTCAGTGCACACGCAATCAGTGCCGTACGGGGACGCCGCCGTATGGGGACACATCGCTATTAGTTACTCACGTATCCTGTGACGTTGAACGACGCTCCACTGCTGGCGAAGCTGACTCCCAACGTAGCGTTTCGGTTCGGATCCAGGTACGGCGGAGGTGACGCGGGGAAGCCCAACCATTCGGCTGCAGAGGACCAAGGGGGCGAAACAATGGTACAGCGGCTGTTGCAGAGGCGTACGGTGAAGGTAGCACGGTAACGCGGAAATATCCTGATCCCGTTTATGGGTTCTCACGCTCGCAATCATATCTAGAGGAGAGACGCGTTAGCACGGAGAGGCGGTGGGAGGAAAAGATAGCGAAGCGAAGCGAAATAATATTCAAATGAAATCTCTTACCGAGGAAGTCGATGCCGAGCTTGCCGTCGCACACGCGACCCGACTGCGGGATGAAGTTCTTTCCATACGGAGGAATGTTGAACTGAAGGACGGACTTGCCGTAGTTATTGTTTCCCACGTCCTGAAGCGAGTCACCAAAAACGAATATCGCGTCGATCGGCCCGGTTGACTTAGGCGCCGCCTTACTAGGCGGCTTAGGACTAGGCGATCTCCGCCGGCCGGCTTCCGCAGAGAGCAGCGATTCTCCGAGAAACATGAGCGCGGCGAGAAAGAGGAGGCGCGACGTGATCGCCATCGTGGCGTGACCGGAGAACGAGAATGGCTAGTGCTAGGACGAATAACAAGGCGCAGCAGTCACACGGCGTACGACGGGTGGTACTTCGGAGGTTATTGGAACAAATGGGATGAGATGAGACGGAATGACAGGAGTGGCTGGTGTGATGACGTGAGGTGTTGGGGTTGGTATAATATGTTGAATCTCTCGACACGGCGCGAAAGTGCCGGAGGGAAATGCGCTGCGCGCCCCGAAACGCGTTGCTCCAAGCCAGAGCGTTCCAAAGTGCGGAACGCGTTTGACTCTGAAGGGTTTTCTATGTTGTAATTCCTTGGTTTTCCCATATATTTATGTGTCTGTAAATAGACCCCGGAACATTGCTGTTTCTCGCCCAGGTTCCACATGGAGCTCTGGAATCAAACACTCCCGCCGTTGAACCTCCACGTGTGACATATTCACGAGGAAGCCTAATCACCAATTTCGTCTGACTCGGCGAAGTTAGAAAGAACATACCATCTCGGACACCAATTTGTAAAGATGTGCTAATGAAATAGGGTGGGAATGAGAAGGTGGAAGCGTCGTTAAATGAATTTTTCCACACAGGGTTGATTAAAAAAGACCCAACCTGATTTCAGGTGTACATCCAAGAACACCCGTCGCTACCAAGAAATCCCACCCGCCACCCAGAAATGGAGGGGTGACTAAAACAATCAAAGGAGTGGCAACCCTGCATTATGCGCCGCCCCAGCAATAAAACATCTTCACATGGTTCCACCATCATGGTACACCAAGCTCTCTATTGCATGTGAACATGTACAGCGGTTAAAAACCCCTCCTCAACCAGATTCTTCCTCTCTCAAATGGAGTGACTCAAAACGAAAGGTAAAATATTTGACTGCAATATGCGACCCCAATTCATCTCTCCAGCAATAACGCATTCTCGCAGGGTTCCACAATCAGGTACAGCTAAGTCTCAATTACAAGTAAACAGATCAATATGTCGCTTCTGACCGTAAACGGACCAATAGGGGTGTGGCATACCTTTTCCAGCAGATATGCTTGACTGCAGCGGTAAGTTTTTGTGTCATTGGTTTATTTTACGAGGAGCATGAATGCACATAACCCAATATCATCTTCTAAAATGGTTCCAGCAGTCTAAGGCATGCCATCACTCTATGGAAGAACTCAAACGTTCAGAGAGACAAGCTGAACCAGGTTCACAGTTGGGACACAGGGGAGCCAAGATAGAGATCTGGGGGGTGAACGGAAGCAACCGGGATGCTCGGATAAGAAATTGGGGGCCGAACCACAGTAACAGGGGAGCGCGGGTAGTAAACTGGGGGGTGAAGCAGAACAACTGGGGAGCTAGGACGGGAGGGAACTGCTGTGGGGTACCAAACAGGTGACGTTGCAGCTGCCACGAGTGGTGGTGGTGTTGGTGGTTGTCCGAGGGGACTCAAAGCAACCGGAGAGCTGGAATAGGGGACTACGGGGTGATTCAAAGCAGAGGCTGGGACAGCTGCTGCCGGTGACCAATACTGCTGCTGGTGGGGCTGCTGGGGATGCTGCTGATACTGTTGGTACTGCTGCTGTTGCTGCTGGTACTGCAAAGGCTGCTGCTGGTGATGCTGTTGCTGCTGGACCTGCCGACGAGGGGGCGTGCAGTTGACGTAGTTACCAGATCGGTGGTCTCTTCCTCGGAGATCCGGACTCGCGAACCTACTCCTTCCTCTCACGATATCAGCATACAGTGCCGGATGCTGAGTGCTCCAAACCTGCTGCTGCTGCTGCTGCTGCTGCTGCTGTTGCTGCTGACGAGGGGGCGTGCAGTGGGCATACTTGCCATGTCCATAGCATCTGTCTCGGAGCTCCGGACTGGCAAACCCACTCCTTCCTCTCACGATATCAGCATACACTGCCGGATGCTGAGTGCTGCGCTCCTGATTCTGCTGCTGCGGCTGCTGGTGCGGCTGCTGCTGCTTCTTCTTCTGCTGCTGCTGCTGCTGCTGCTGCTGCTGCTGCTTGGGATGCTGACGAGGGGGTGTGTAAACACGGCGCTGCCAGGAGTGTTGCTGCTGCGAGCGATGCTCTACTCGGTGGCGATGGTCATGGTGATGGCGATAGCCATGGTGATGACGGCGTGGGGGGGTGCAGTTCACATACTTCTCTGCCGCTGCTTCCAAACCCCGCTCCTTCTCACTCTCCACCCGTACATTCTCCCGCCTCAGTATTTCCCGGTCCCTTGAGTCACACCCGACTGCTCGCATATTCCTCGACCGCGGGCGCAAGGGCGTGTCGCTTTTCACAGGAGAGGTGATTTTGAGTGGCGACACGGCTTTGAGTTGACATGCAGCTTTGAACGGACCTGCGCTCACTCCCTCTCGGCTCCTGACACGCTCCTCCCTCTCATTCTCATTGTTGTTCTGAGGGAAGCTTCTCGGACCTTTCCTCTTTCCAGCTTGGTCGCCCCGACCTGTATCCCTAGTCCAATCACCCGCACCACCCATCCCCCCTCGTATCGACAGTCGGCGCATCGCTGCTTCAGCTTCTTTCTCCGCCTCAGCTGCCCTTGCCCCTTCAGCTGCTCTCGCTCCTGCTGCATCATCTTTCGGAGCAATTGATTTCTCCCCTGTGTGCTCCTCCTCATCACGATCAGCACCGGCTTCACGCCCTTCCCTCCCACCGTCATCACCCACCACCCCGCCTATCACCAGCCCTTGCAGCGCCTTTGCAGCAGCTTCCACAGCCGCCTCGCCCGCTGCTTTCCTCGCTGCTATGCGCCTCTCCACGCGAACCCTCTCCTTGCGCACGCTGCGGACGGCGCGGGCCACATCTCCCCTCGCGTGCTTCTCAGCCAGCACTGCCACCCGTTCTGCCTCGTTGGGCCAAGGCTGCACGCATAGCAGAGGGGAGAAGCGAACAGAGAATGGGGAACCACTGAGGAAAAGGGCAATCTCCTTCCACTACTGCCTCGCCTGCGGCTCTCATTGCTGCTATGCGCCTCTCCACTCGAACCTTCTCTTTGCGCACGCTGCTGACGGCGCGGGCTGCGTCTCCCCTCGTGTGCTTCTCAGCCAGCACTGCTACCCGTTCCGCCTCGTTCGGCCAAGGCTGCACGCATGGGGGAGAAAAGGGAATGCGGAACCATTGAGGAAAAAAATATTATCCTTCCAGCTACCTCGCCTGCTGCTTTCAGTGCTGCTGCCCGCCTCTGCACCCGGATCTTCTCCTTGCGCACACAACGGACGCTTCGGGCCGTGTCTCCCCTCGTGTGCTTCTCTGCCAATAACTACAGTGAAATCCGATCATGTCTTTCAAAGAAAAAAGGAATGATCAATAAGTACAGTGCAAGGGGCTAATCACAGAAGCACGCCAGTCTTGCCTTTAAACGAATAGACGCCTCCCCAAAAAGGTATCCAGGCAACCTCACCTGGCGATGCGTTGAATACCCGTACAGCTTTCGCCCCTTCAGCATGTGCTGCTTGAGTGGTGGCAAAGGCTGTAAGCCCGAGCTCCAAAGCACTTCCACCTGCAAATCCAAATGTAAATAAAAATAGAGATTTATTAGGGCAAAGTTACACCAGAGCCCGTTGATGTATGAATTCAAATGATTTCGAGACGGACTTTATATCAACTCGAAAACCGTATTTCCATTAAAGAGGTCAAACAAACACAAAATCATCAGTGATAGGCGCGCATGTGCTTACAGTGAAGGTGTGCTGCTGCTTCAATTCGCCGTAGCTCTCGATGATCACTCGCCCCGCCACGTGCAGACACCCCGGACAGTCTTTCTTGTGCCTGCACGCACCATTCGCGCAATGTAAACGGCCCTAGTACGGTCGGCCAGGCTCAGAAAAGGCGGGAAACGTTCAGGTATGGAACGAGGTTCGCGAGAGGAGGCGGGCGGGAGAACAGCGACGGAACGAAGCAGAATCAGTGGCTCGCTCACCCTTTAAACAGGCACTGCTTGAAGAGCACAACGTCGTTCCTGCACACGTCGCCTGCGCGGACATTCGACAATGGCGCAACAGACACAGAGGGGAACAAAGCGGAAGCGAGTGTCTGAGGAAAAAGGCATGAATCAAGTGTGTACCTGGGTCGCCGTAGCTTGCTCAAGTGAACGATGTATTGAATGCTCGCGGCTCTCTTGTGATTTATGAGCTTGGCGACTTGAGTGCCGTTGTAGAGTAAAGGAAGAGATGTTTTTACCATTCGGAAGAATAGTGTTGGGAGGGAGGGATAAAAGGGAGAGCTGGGCTTGCAGGGCCGGAGTTGAGTCTAAGAAACACGCGGCGGTGTTGCGGGCGCAGGGGTCGGGAGAGCGAGAGGGCGAGAGGTGGAAAGTACCTTTGCAGTGGATGGAGAAGGATTCGGGTGGATACTTGCGCATGGCTGACGCGACATCGTTGATCCTGGCGAGGAGAGACAGAGATGGACGAATGGCGTTACTAGTCATACAGAAAGCGTTCACCGCTTCATCATACAGCACGAAGCGGCACAGGGATGTTGGTCACGGCGGAAGGCGGAATTCTATGGCGGGAAGCGGAAATCTACTGTGGGATTCGCGGCGGCGAGCGAGAATCTTGAAATGCTTCTTCATCAGGGGGTTTGGTTCGGGGGGAAGGAGAAAGGAGCAGCGCGGGGGAGCGGAGAATTAAATCAGTTTATAACGCGGACAAACTCACTCGACGTGCTCATGGATGCGGCTGACGAGGACGGGCTTGGCGCCGCTCACTCGCAGGCGGTGGAACCGCAGGTACGCCTGGCACTGCCCAACGGTCATCTCGCTCCACTCGCCCGCTGCCATCCCAACGAGCACATGCCGGGAATACGCGTGACAAGTTGCAATGGTTAAACGAGATTCGAAGGGGGTGGAACCGCAGGTACCCCTGGCATTGGCTAACGGTCATCTCGCTCCCCTCGCCGCCCGCTGCCGTCCGAACGAGCACATGCCAGGATTGCGCGACACGACTTTGGACAAAGCTAGACGTGCTTGATCGAATTGGTTGCGAGACGTATCAACACTCAACGTCTGCGTGTCTGACCAGCGACGGGCTGAGAACTAGACGGCATCTTGAAGAGCAAAGGCTTGGAACGGATCTCGAAAGCAATTTACTACCTTAGATCGAGGATACTTCTGAGTCGACTCAAAAGCCACCCTAGAGACTGTGTATGGAACGAAGTGTACCTTGGATCAAGGACAGCGCCTTGGCGTAAACATCGGACGTGGAGCTTCCCGCGTAAACCGTTCTGCTTCTCAGAATCCGCACGCCCGCAGCTTCGGACGCGCTGACTTTCGAGCTCGTTCGACTCCCTTTTTCGCAAGGCTTAGCTGTGGAAGTCGCTTCGTCGTCGCCGCTGCAGCTACTGCTGTCGTTATCGCTGCTACTGTCGCTACCGATGTTACTAGTGGTATTGCTGCTACTAGTATCGGGATTTCTGTAACGTTCGTTGCTCTTTTCGCTGCCATTGTCGTAGAAAGTTTCGCCTTTGTGGAAGACGAGCGAGATTGCCGCGCATTCAGGCGCGTCAACCGTCATTTCACCGAATGCACTGACGTATAGTAATATAACGTGCACAGCCTGTCAGTACTTGCAATCCAGAGAACGGAGTACTATTGACCAGAAATTGTGACTAGTACAACTGACCAGCGATAGCAGATTATAGCTCTCGTTTTAAAAAACAAAGACAGCGTACCCATGTCGTGCCTCAGCTTGGAACCATGTTGGCTTCTCTGTGAGAAAGTGCTGAAGCTAAGCAGCAACATCCATTCTCCAGCCGTTCTTTCTGTCTTCATTTTTTCGGGTGCTGCCGAGCTGACGTCGGCAATGGGAGCAAGCAAATGAGATTGGATGGGGGGGAGAGTGGGGGGTGATGCGATCTGGCAGAGGAAACCGAGGGTGCGGATTTGATGAAACTGTTGTCGCACCATCGCGACGCTCGATATATACTCCGAATGTCTGACAAGAACAAAGACGAATCGCGCAACAGTGTCTGGGCTGGTGAGTGCGGGTGCTTCACAAAAGTTCAAAAATTGCGCGGGAAGAACCCCAGTTGTAGATGAATCAACGCTCGTCTACACGATGAGCATTTCTTAGAAGCTGAATTTTGATAGTCATATTGAAGTTTGTGGCAAATTCGAGATTCCTCAATACGCGTACATCTCGAATGCCCCCTCACCATGCCCCTTTCCTCAGTACCCTCCTTTGCCCATTCAACCCATCCTACCGCAGTCTAGAATGCCAAGAATAGACTCCATTCGATAGTCGCTCGCATCCATCGCCGACCTCCTTTCGCAATAATTTCGTCAGCCTCTCAGCGAAGGCAGTCTCCACGTGGCACCAGTTCACAGGATTTTTTTCCAGAATGGCTCCCGCGGCTGACTCCGCTCCGCCAAGGAGCACGCCCGCGCAACCGTCAGATGCGCAAACCTCCGCCGCAATGGCGGAACCCCCGCCCCCGCGAATCCAAACCCTAGAGGACTTCGTTAAAGTGCACGAATTGCTGTTACTCGCGACAGGCCTGCCTCGCGAACTCTACCCGCGGCTGTTCGAGAAGATCATGGCGGAAAGATTCGATGCGGGCAGCAGATTCGCGATCGAGGAGGTGGAGGGCGGGCGGCAGAGGCGCGTCGTGCTGACACCTGGCGGGCAGGGATTGGACGCGCACGGTGACGTGTTTTTAGTGGACCACGCGTGGTCGTTCCGATTGGGCCAGGCGCGCGAGCAGGCACGGCCTGGGGGGGGGGGGTGGGGTGTGGGGGGGAATGTGGGCGGGGAGCGTGTGCGCGCGAACATGCTCGTCTCGGGGAAAGGGTGTTCTGGGGGAGGAGGGGAAGGAGGCGGAAGGAGGGAGGGGGAGGGAGGGACAGGGAGGGGGAGAAAAGGGGGTATGCATGCGAACCGGCGCGTGTTGCTGGAGGGGGAGGGAGAGGAAGGGGATGATTACGCGAGCAGGCGCGTGGAACCGGGAGGGAAGAGGGGTAGGGAATGATTGGGCCAGGCGCATGAACAGGCACGTCTGGGGGGGGGGGGTGTGGGGGGGAAGGGAATGATTACCCGAGCAGGCGAGTAGGAGCATGGCCCATGCAGGGGGAAAGAAGGGGAATGGGATGAATGCGCGAACAGGCACGTTGGATGAACATGCCCCATTCTTTCCCCATTCCTCCTCCCCCCCCCCCCCCCCCCCCCTTGTCGCAGCAGGAGAGCCTCCCCAAGCTGGCAGCGCGGATTGCCCCTCTCATGTGCGGGGAGTTTTTGAGGGGGGCAATCCCCATGAGACTGCCTCACATGAGAATTCTCAAAACGTCTCATGTGACGCTGCCTCTTTTTCCTTCCGCTTTCTACCTCCTCTCCCCCACCCGCCTCCCAATCTTCCACCCACCTACCCCCATTTCTCTCCTATCCCCTCTCGCAGCTGGAGAGCCTCCCCAAGCTGGCGGCGCGGATGGCGGCTCTCATGTGCGTTGGGGGGGAGGACGAGGGGGAGGGGGAGGAAGGGGAGGGGGATGGGGAGGGGGAAGGAAGTGGAGAGGGGAAAACTGGAGACGCAGAGAAGACTGAGGACGAAAGGAAGGGCGGAAAGTCCGTTGATGAAATTATCTCGCGGGCAGTTCGGGCAGCTGTGGATGCTCAAATCCAGGAAAGAGATGGGCAAACGGGAAGTGGAGAGGCGGAGGGAGGGGCGGCGAGAGAGGTTGAAGGGGAGGTGGCGCGAGAGGCATCTGGAGAGGTGGAGGAGGGGGTGGAGAGCGGTGTGGAGTGGTTGGAGATGGATGGGGAGGGGATTGACGATGACATGCTTGCAGCCATGCACCTGCATGAACGCTTCCCTGTGAGTCCCATTAACGAGGCTGTCTATAGAGGGTACACAGACAGAAGGAGGAAAGGAATTTCTGTCAACAACAGAACGTCGCTTGTCTCTCCATGTTTTTTAGTTCTGTTTTGAAGTTGGTTTTTCTCACAACCTCTGAAGTTGTCAGCACTTTCATGTCATGAAAGTGCTCAGCGTCTTGAAGTTGTCAGCCCCATGACACGAAAGTGGTGAATCGAAGCTTCTGCGGGAACCCAGTCAAAGACGCTGCTCCAATGACCTTTCTCCATCGTTTCTCACCCCCGTTCTACACCTTTCGCACCAGAAATATCAACCCCTTTCCCTGTTCTTGTCACACCCTTGCGCCTCTCCCTGTATCGCCCCTTGCCGATCCTATGCCCACCCTCCCCACCACCAGCGGCTAGTGGGTCTGAGCCTCTGGGGCAACCGCCTCACAGGTGCTGCTCGAGTGGCCTCATGTCTCTAGTCTTCGCTTTACCTAGTCAACCCTCTCTTCCGTTTTTGTCTCACTATCACTGCACCACCCCACCCTCTGCTCACCACCAGCGGCTAGTGGGTCTGAGTCTCTGGGGCAACCGCCTCACAGACGCTGCTCGAGTGGCCTCCCTGCTCTCCCCGCTCACCTCCCTGCGTGCGCTCTGGCTGAATGACAACCCGTGTGCTGCCACCGAGTGAGTAACACAGGAGTGACTGCAGGTGCTTGCCTGATGTTGCAGTCCCGTAGAGAGAAACGTTCCCCTGTCATCCCCCTCCAGTCGCCGCGCACCTCCTTGCATGCCCTGTCCATGCACTGTGTTCTGAGATCTTTTTATGACTTGTGCGTTTGGGTCGACTTATAATCCCTCCTCTTACCACTCTGCTCTGCTCTGCTCCTCCCCACTTCCTCTCCCCCCCATCCCCCCCATGCGCTCACGCACAGGTCTGCTGCTCCTACTACAAAACACAATCTCCTCGGTTCCCCCCCCCCCACCCTTGAAACAAGTCACCCGCCATTCCATCCCCCCGTTCATCCGCCACTATTCCACCTGGGTGCTGCAACCACTCACAATGCCACCCCTGCTTGCTATGCTCCTCCCGTCTCCCTTATCCCCCTCCTCACCCTCCTCCACTCTCTCCTTGGTCCTCCCTTCTGGCCCACCCCCCTCCTCACCTCCCCCCTTTCCATCTACCCCATGCTCTCACTCACAGGTCCTCTGCTTCTGATCTCTAAGGAACGCTACTCACACTGCAGCTGCCACTCATCTCCTCTTTCCCTCTTCCTCCCCTACCCTACCCCGCCCTGTCCCCTGCATCCCCCATGCCGTCGCAGGTCCTCTGCTTCTGATTTAAGAAACGCCCTCCTGAAATCCCTCCCCAATCTCAAGCTTTTCAACCGCCACTTTACCCGCCGCTATTCCACGTGGGCGCTGCTCTTCGCTGCTGACGTGGCGGGCCCTCATCGCGCCACCTTGGACGATGATATGGCAGCTGCTGAGATGGCGCGGTTGACTGAAGTTGACTTGTCTGACCGGGGAATCGTGGAGCTAAAGCAAGAGGTGCGACTGAATGAGATGAGACGGGTTCAAAGCTTGAGAATAATGGTGGAAGAGGGTTGACTTGACTTGGGTTGACGTGCGAGCTGACTAGGGTTGACCTGGGTTGACCTGGATACCGCTATACCGCTATCAATATACCGCTATCTCCTTCTCTCTTTCCTTGCCTCTTCACCTTCCCATGTCCCTTCCCGTTCCCGTTTCCCTTCCCCCTTTACCTGCCACTCTCCTTGCTTCTCTACATGTCTTCTCCACTACACTCTTCCCAGTCCTCACACACATTAACCTCGTGCCCAATCCGCTCCCTCTATCCCCCCTTGCTTGCATTCACTCCTCTCAAACTCCTTTCCCGTGTTTCCTGAATCCCCCCCTCCCGTCTTTCCCTCTCTGCTATTCGTTGACTCCCCAGTGCTCCTCCCTCACTCACCCACATAAACCTCTCTCACAACCCGCTCTCACTCTCCCCCAGCGCCCCCGTTGACGCCTATCAAAACCCTTTTCTGTGTTTCCCTCCCCCTTTTCCCTTGCCCTCCCCACTCACCATTTCCCTGTCCTCTCTGCACTCGCACGCGTCAACCTCTCTTCTCACCTGTATATTGACGCTTCTCAAAGACCCTTTCCTGTCTTTCCCTCTCCCTCTCCCTGCCCCTTCCCTCACGCCCTGCCCTGTCTCTCTACAGGTCTTCTCTCCATCGCTCCTCCCTGCCCTCGCCCACATCAACCTCTCTCAGAACCCCCTTCCTCTCTCCCCCCTCGCCCCCATCGACGCCTCTCGTGCCTCTGTGCTGCTGCCCCTCGCCTCGCTTCCCTCACTGCGCTCTCTGCAAGTAAGTGCGGTGCAGCTGGGTGCCAATATGTGCAGCTGGGTGCCAATATCTGCAGCTGGATGCCTATGGGTTCTGGTGGGTTCTGGTGGGCTCTGCTGGGTGCTGCTCTGTGCTTATGGGTTCAAGAGAGGGGACCTCTGCATTGCTGCCCCTTGCTTCACTTCCCTTGCTGTGCTCTTTGCGCAAGTAAGTGGGGTGCTGCCTAGTGTGGGTGCTGCTGGGCGCGGCTGGTTTCCAGTGGGTGCTGCTCTGTGCTGATGGGTGCAAGTGAGGCGAGATTTGCATTGCTGCCCCTCGCCTTGCGTCCCGCGCTGCACTCTCTACACAGGTGAGTGCGGTGCAAGCAAGCAAGGCCAGGTCTGCATTGATCGGCTCAGACTCAGACTCAGATAGCTTCAGTAATCTCGCCTCTTCATGCTGCCTGATTCTCTTCGCTTATTGCTACCTGCCTCTCCTCTCTCCACTTGTCCCTTCCACTTGCCCCTTCACATATCCACCTCCCCCACCTCTTCTCCCACCCACCCAGGTGGATCTGGATAGCCCCTTCCCCTTTGACCCGTACGACACCGCCTCCATTTTCCTCCACCTCACCAATGTGCGTCCCCCCACCCCCCTCTGTTCTCTGCTACCATGCTCCTTTGCCCCTCTCCAACCCCCCACCCAGGTAGACCTGGAAGGCCCCTTTCCCTTTGACCCATATGACACCGCCTCCACTCTCCCCCTTGCTCTCTCCCCTCTGCTCCCCCCCCTCTGCCCTTACCCCTCTGCTCGCTCCATTGTGCCCTCCTCCGTGCCGCATTGCCCCTCCCCAGGTGGACCTAGAAGGCCTCTTCCCCTTCGATCCATACGACACCGCATTCACTCTCCCCCGCCTCTCCTCACTCCTCCCACCCCTATCCCTCCTGTACCCACTTTCAGTTAGACCTAGAAGGCCCTTTTCCCTTCGACCCATACGATGCAGCTTCCACTCTCCCCCGCCTCTCCTCCCTCAACGGCGGTTTGCTCTCCTCGTTCATGCGGGGAGGTTCCTGGATGTTTCCTCGCCTGCCAGCCTGGCAGCCCGGCACGCCATTGGTGGATCGAGTGCTGCATGCCATGTGGCGCCACGTGTGCAGCTACAAGCTCGCCACTGAGACACAGCTGGATGAGAGTGCTGTGTGGTGAGTATTAGAGCACCGCACCACACTTTACTGCACCGCACTGCACTGCACAGCACTGCGCTGCATTGCAGTGCTTTGCACCAATTGTCCAAGCACTGTCTAGGCTTGCTCGGTGCTGCATGCCATGTGGCGCCACGTGTGCAGCTACAAGCTCGCCACCGAGACACAGCTGGACGAATCTGCTGTGTGGTGAGTGGGCATGCACTGACCGCACTGCACTGTGCTGAATGCCGTATGGCATCACATGCAGCTACAAGCTTGCCACTGAAACACAGCTGGACGAATCCGCTGTGTGGTGAGTGAGTATGCATGCACCGCACTGTACCGCACTGTCTCAAGCAATGACCAGGTGTGCTAGGTGCTGCATGCCATGTGGCGCCACGTGTGCAGCTACAAGCTCGCCACTGAAACACAGCTGGACGAAACTGCTGTGTGGTGAGTGAGTATGCATGCACCGCACTGCACCACAATATGCACCGCACTGCACTGCATTTAGTCTGACATTCCGAGTGGTTGAGCAGGGACTAGGTATGCTGGGGTGCTGCATGCCACGTGGCGCCACGTGGGCAACTACAAGCTCGCCAGTGAGACACAGGTGGACGAATCCGCTGTGTGGTGGTGAGTGAGTGAGCTTGTGCATGAGGGCTGCATTCGTGTAGTGTAACAGTTGCTATGTACTGGCGACATACACTGACTGCCGCATGCCATGCCATATCCTTGTTCTCTCTGCTCCTCTTTACTTATCCGACATGTTCCCGCACCCACCCTCCATCAAGTTGACATTTGAGTCGACTCAAAAGTTCCCCACCCACCTCCCGTGCCAACAGGTACTGCATGCAAGGACGAGTTCCGCATCATCACTTTTGAGACACTTGTGATATTTGAGGCGCCTAAACACCAGACATCACTTTTGAGACACTTTCAAAATCTCTTCAAAGTGCTTCGAGTTTCGCGCCCCCCCCCCCCCCCCCCCACCCAACACTTTTTCTTGACCACTGCAACAGTTTTTGAGGCGCCTCAAAGTTTCCCCTTGACCACCTCAGCTCAGCCCATGCCGCTTCTGCCCTCTCCCCACTTATCCGCTCCCTCTTCTCTCTCCCCATGCCTTCCCCCAGGTACATAATTGACGAGTTCGGCAGTGCCTTCCGTCACAGCGACCGCCCCAACTTCCGCTGTGCGCCCTTCCTCTTCCTTCCCCACGCCTCCTTTGCATCCGCTGTCAGGTGAGCCTGGGAGTGTGCTGTCAGGTGGGTTGTGTTGTCATGTGGGTTGTGTTGTCATGTGGGTGTGCTGTCCGGTGTTATTTTTGTGGGTGCTTTCAGGTGGGTCACCCTTCCCGTCTTCCCTTCCCCCCAGCTACTCCATCGTGTGGCCGCTGGCAGCAGTAGAGCCGGGAGAGGAGTGCACGAGGGAGGGACCATCTCGCTGGGATGGGAGGGATGTATCCATATTCACACGTCTCCCCTCTATCTGCCCTCCCCTACCCTGCCCTGCGCTCCCTCCGTCCGCTCCCCTCCCCCAGCTACTCGCTCGTGTGGCCAGCAGCAGCAGTGCAGCCGGGGCAGGAGTGCACGAGGGACTATCTCGCCGGGGTGGGGGAGGAGCAGCAGCGCTCAGCCAAGCTGTCCGTGTGGTTTCACACGCCCTCAAGCGCCTTCCAGCAAGTATGCCAAATCTCCTTGCCTGTTCTAGTCAATCCTAAGGGCAGCACCGCTCGTCCGTGTGGTTTCACACGCCCTCAAGCGCCTTCCAGCAAGTATGCACACTCTTTTCTCTCCCTTTTCTAGTCTTTGTTAACGCCATCAGAAACCAAGCTGTCCGTGTGCTTCCAGCAAGTATGCTGACTCTTTTCTCTCCCATTTTTACTCTCAAGCTTAAGGGCAGCACCAGCAGCGAGCGGCCAAGCTATGTGTGTGGTTCCACACGCCTCCAAACGCCTTCCAGCAAGTATGCACACTCTTTTCTCTCCCTTTTCTACGTGCAAACTTAAGGGCATCAGCAGCAGCAAGCGGCCAAGCTATCTGTGTGGTTCCACACACCCTCGAGCTCCTGTCAGCAGCTATTTGTGTAGACCAACTCTTTCTTAGCGTCTTATACCACTCCCCATCCCATCCCACCCCAGGCCTACGAGCAGCGCATGTGCAGGTTCGCAGCAGCAGCCGCAACGCACACAGAGGCAACCACTCGGCTTGCTTGCACGGAATCCGACAATAAAGAGGACACGGGAGGAGGAGGAGAGGCGGGTGGAGCAACAGACAAACCGGAGGAAGCAGACGAGCCAGAGAAGCCGGAAGTGGGGAAGCAAGTGTATCGAGTGTTCACAGATCTGCCCTATGTCACTCACAACCTCTCTCGCCCCGAGTTCACATTCGGTGAGTTGTTGGGGAAGAAGAGGGAGGGAGGGATGGAGGGTGGGGCAAGCAGGGCAAGGCGGGGAAGACTTTTGAGGCACCTCAAAAGTCGTCTCAGCTCACGGGATTTTTTGTCGAGAAAATTTTAACTGCTTGGAAGTGTTCCCGTAACCTGCAAAGGTTACTTGTGCGTGCGCGGTTACCGAAGCGATCAAGTCGTTTGAAGACTTTTCGTGAAGGCTGACACAGCACATTGGGTTTACCCCCTTGCTTAGTTGGCAATTGCGTATGATTTGCAATTTGGGTAGTTGGTGTACAATAAAGTACATCTCGAGGGCAGGAGCATGGTACTTAGCTAGCCTCTGTCCGAGACCTTTCTTTCTTGTTCGAACCTGTAAGCAGCACTGATGAAGGCCTAGCGGGGTTCTGTCCCGAAGGCCGAAACTAGTTTGCGAATAAGGGTTCTCTTGAGTTTGAAGGTTTTGAGATCCTTTTGAATTTCTGGGAGCAAGTTTCACAGTCTTGATCCTATTGCTTAAGTGTTTACTACAGGTTTGCAGCTACTCCGCGATGAATCTTGATCCTTGGGCTATTGAATGCTTTTCGTTGGAGGAGGACGCCGAACCTGAGATACACAGCTCTGCGAAGCGAGCTCGTGGGAGTGGGAATAAGGCGCGGTCTACTAAGAAGACCCCTGGGCAGCAGCAGACCGTCAGCAAAATTCCGGCACTGGCGTTAGTTAACCCACGAGCCTGCGCTACGAAGCAAGCAATCTGAACCACCTCCCGCTGGACCTTCTGGAAGTCGTCCTTGCAACATGACGGAACCCGTCGATGATTCACCAATCCCCGATCCCTTCAGAGGATGGGTTTCTGAGGTGGTGAAGAAGTTCCGTGACAGCTTCAAGAATTTGCTTAGGCGAAAAGCAAGCTGAAGAAAATGAAGGAGCTCGACAGCCAAGGCTCGATTCTGCATAGCATCCGTACTAAGGCAGTCGAGTTCCAGACCAAGTTTGACTCCGTCAAAGAGAAATCTACGGCGGCTGTGGCTGTGAGAAATCTACTCCGCGATGAATCTTGATCCTTGGGCTATTGTATCAAGTTTTCACCGATCGTTCCCATGTTCTTGACACCTTCTCCTGCCGCAAATTCACGTCCGTTGAGTGAGTGGCCGGGGCAAGCAGAGGGAGAGGGGGGGCAAGCCATGAAAGCGGGTGTATCGAGTGTTCACTGGCAATCTTCCCTATGTTCTTGGCATCCCCTCTCGCCCTGAGCTCACTGTTGGTGAGTGTCTGGAGCAAGCAGAGGGAGGAAGGGGCACGAAGGGCGAGCCATGAAAGCGGGTGTATCGAGTGTTCACTGGCGATCTTCCCTATGTTCTTGACTCCCCCTCTCACCCCGAGTTCACTTTTGGTGAGCGTCTGGCTGGGGCAAACGTTTCGGGGGCAAATGGATGTGAGTGTGTGTGGGCGCAAAGCATGGATCGTTTGTGTGTGTGCGTGCGTGCATGCGTGCGTGCACGTGTGTGCTTGAAACGCTGTGCTGTGTCATGCCATCCATGGCTATTCTGTAAAGAACAAGTTCACACTTTACAGCACCACCTTCTCTTCTCTTCCTCGTTTGAGGCGCCTCAAAGAACATTGTTGGCAGCACGCGCTTTTCTTCTCTTCCTCGTGCGCTGAACTGTGTTTTGGTGCTGCCCCTCCTCCCCTCCTCCCCTCCTCCCCTCCTCCCCTCCTCCCCTCCTCCCCTCCTCCCCTCCTCCCCTCCTCCCCTCCTCCCCTCCTCCCCTCCTCCCCTCCTCCCCTCCTCCCCTCCTCCCCTCCTCCCCTCCTCCCCTCCTCCCCTCCTCCCCTCCTCCCCTCCTCCCCTCCTCCCCTCCTCCCCGAACCCCCAAACCCCCAAACCCTCAATCCCTGAAGACTCAAATTTGAACCTTAAACCCTTAACTTCCTCTCAGTTGACGCCCCCAGCGGGGCAGACATCATCTGGACAAGCATGCAGGTGGACGATGCTTTCAGAGAGGCAAGAGAGGGAAGGAGGAGCAGTCACAAATGGGTTTCTCCTTTCTCTTCCCCTCTCCCCCCACCCCTTCCTCCCTCCCACCCCCCACCTCCTCCTCCCCCAGTTGACGCCCCCAGCGGGGCAGACATCATCTGGACGAGCATGCAGGTGGACGATGCTTTCAGAGAGGGGGGGAGGAGCCGCCACAAGTGGGTTTTCCCACTCTCCCACCCTTCTCCTCCTCCCCCAGTTCAGAGAGGCGACTGTGGTGTGGGAAGTGACGTGGAAGGAAGGAAGTGCATCCCCTCCTTCCAGTCACCGCGTGCATGTTTCCTCTAGTAACCAACCGGTGACCTGTGCTCACTCTGAGTCGATTTTTGAGTCGACTCAAAAATCCCCTCCTTGCAGTCACCGCGTGCATGTTTCCTTTAATAACCAACCGGTGATCTGTGCTCACTCTGAAACCCGTTATCTCCCCAGTGGACGCCCCAGGGGAAGCGGACATCATATGGACGAACATGCAGGTGGACGATGCGTTCAGAGAGGCAAGAGAGGGGATAAAGAGCTGTCAATGATACTTCTCCTTCTCTCACCCCTTCCTCCTCTCCCCACCTCCCCCTCTCCCCCCCTCCCCCAGTGGACACCCCCAGTGAAGCGGATATCATATGGACGAGCATGCAGGTGGACAATGCATTCAGAGAGGCAAGGGAGGGGATAAAGAGCCGTTACGAAGGTCTCTCCCTCCCCACCCCCCTCTCACCTCCTCCCCCAGTGGACGCCCGCAGCGAGGCGGATATCATATGGACGAGCATGCAGGTGGACGATGCATTCAGAGAGGCAAGGGAGGGGATAAAGAGCCGTTACGAAGGTCTCTCCCTCCCCACCCCCCTCTCACCTCCTCCCCCAGTGGACGCCCCCAGCGAGGCAGACATCATATGGACGAGCACGCAGGTGGACGATGCATTCAGAGAGGCGGCTGGGCTGAAGGAGAGGAGGGAGAAGGGAGAGAGGGAGCCGTTGGTGAACCAGTTTCCGGGCGAGGAGTGCCTGGTGATGAAGCACCACCTGGCCAAGACCGTGCAGCAGGTGGGATGCGGTGCGAATGGGTTACCAGGTTGCTTAGCCTGTTCTGCAGTCAGTTGAGGCATGCGTTGTGATGAAGCACCACCTGGCCAAGACCGTGCAGCAGGTGGGATGCGGTGCGAATGGGTTACCAGTGGCAAGGGAGTGCAAGGAGTGCAGGCAAGCAAGGGAGGCGGGAGCCGTTGGTGAACCAGTTCCCGGGCGAGGAGTGCCTGGTGATGAAACACCTCCTGGCCAAGACCGTTCAGCAGGTGCGATGCATTGGAGAGTGGTGGAGTGGTGAGGAGGCACAGGGGGATAGAATACGTTGTTGAATTTCCCAACAATCGGGGAGGCGAGCATTGTGGCACTTGCGAGAATTCTCATCTCAAGGTGATGCAAGAAGCACCTGGGTGCGCCATTGCTGTTGCTGTTGTTTCTGTGTGCTCTCTTGCTCGTCTCTTCTGGTGTGCCAGTGCTGTTGCTGTTGCCTCAAGACACGTACGAAATACCGTCATTGCTGGCAGCGCGCTGATAGGGTGCTGAATGGGTGTATGTTCGACCCTACCTTTCATGCTTGTGCTTGCTCTGTTTGCTCGTCTCTTGCTCTCGTGTGCAAGCATACAACAACACGCGTCCCTGGTTGCAATACACGTGCAGCATGCAGTTTGGGATGGCCGTTCTGATAGGATGCTGTACGGCTGTATGTTCCCCTTCTGCCGTTCATGCTGTACGTCTGTATGTTCCCCTTCTGCCGTTCATGCTGTACGTCTGTATGTTCCCCTTCTGCCGTTCATGCTGTACGTCTGTATGTTCCCCTTCTGCCGTTCATGCTGTACGTCTGTATGTTCCCCTTCTGCCGTTCATGCTGTACGGCTGTATGTTCCCCTTCTGCCGTTCATGCTTACGGCTGTACGGCTGTATGTTCTCAGTTTGGGATGGCCGTTCATGCTTCTGCTTTCTCTGCTTGCCCTTCTCTTTCTCTGCTCTTGCTCCTGCCTGCAGGCATATGGCAACACGCGGCCATGGTTACAAGACACGTACGACATGCAGTCAGAGCTGGCGGCACTCACAGGGTGCTGTATGCTGTATGCTCTCCCTCACGTGTTTGTGCATTCCTTTGCTTCTCTCTTCTATTGTGTGCAGGCATACAGCAACACGCGTCCCTGGCTGCATGACACGTACGACATCGAGTGTTTTTTGAGAACTCTCAAAAAGCAGTCGGAGTTAGCAGCGCTGATAGGGTGTTGCATGCCCCCCCTCACATGTATGTTTTCTCTGCTCCTGCATGCAGGCATACGGCAACACGCGTCCCTGGTTGCAAGACACGTACGATATGGAGTCAGAGCTGGCAGCGCTGATAGGGTGCTGTATGGCTGTACACGCCCCTTTCACATGCATGTGATTGCTCTGCCCTTCTCTTGCGCTGCTCTTGCTTCTGCATGCAGGCATACGGCAACACGCGCCCCTGGTTACAGGACACGTACGATATGGAGTCAGAGCTGGCAGCGCTGATAGGGTGCTTCCAGCAGAGGGAGGAGGCGGCCGCTGCTGCTGCAGGGAGGCGGGTGATTGCCAGCTACGAGGGTCGTGAGGAGCCTCAGAAGAATGAAGGTGAGTGAGCCGTGCGTAAAAGACTGAATGAAGGCATGTAAGGCATGGGAGCTAGTAGCATTGATTGGATGCTTCCATCATAGAGAGGCGGCTGCTGTTGCTGCTGCTGCAGGGAGGCGAGTGTTTGCCAGCTACGAGGGCAGTGAGGGCAGGGAGCCTTGAGTGAGTACCATAGGGTACATCCAGCAGGGAGCCTTGAGTGAGTACCATAGGGTACATCCAGCAGGGAGCCTTGAGTGAGTACCATAGGGTACATCCAGCAGGGAGCCTTGAGTGAGTACCATAGGGTACATCCAGCAGGGAGCCTTGAGTGAGTACCATAGGGTACATCCAGCAGGGAGCCTTGAGTGAGTACCATAGGGTACATCCAGCAGGGAGCCTTGAGTGAGTACCATAGGGTACATCCAGCAGGGAGCCTTGAGTGAGTACCATAGGGTACATCCAGCAGGGAGCCTTGAGTGAGTACCATAGGGTACATCCAGCAGGGAGCCTTGAGTGAGTACCATAGGGTACATCCAGCAGGGAGCCTTGAGTGAGTACCATAGGGTACATCCAGCAGGGAGCCTTGAGTGAGTACCATAGGGTACATCCAGCAGGGAGCCTTGAGTGAGTACCATAGGGTACATCCAGCAGGGAGCCTTGAGTGAGTACCATAGGGTACATCCAGCAGGGAGCCTTGAGTGAGTACCATAGGGTACATCCAGCAGGGAGCCTTGAGTGAGTACCATAGGGTACATCCAGCAGGGAGCCTTGAGTGAGTACCATAGGGTACATCCAGCAGGGAGCCTTGAGTGAGTACCATAGGGTACATCCAGCAGGGAGCCTTGAGTGAGTACCATAGGGTACATCCAGCAGGGAGCCTTGAGTGAGTACCATAGGGTACATCCAGCAGAGAGAGGCGGCGGCGGTGGCAGCGGCGGCGGCGGCAGCAGCTGCTGCTGCTTCTGCAGGGAGGCGAGTGATTGGCAAGGCAGGTGGGTGAGCCATGAGCAATGAAGGCAGGGCACCTTGAATGCCATAGGGTGCTTTCAGGAAACGGAGGTTTGAAGCTGCTGCTGCTGCTGCTGCTGCTGAGAACAATGCAGGTCACAATGAGCCGTGCACAAATGAAGTGTGGAGGTGAGGCATCGTAAACAAGGATGGTGGGGGGCATTGAGCGTTCATGGGGTGCTTCAAGCAGAGGGAGGTGGCGGCTGCTGCTGCTGCTGCTGCTGCTGCTGCTGCTGGGAGGAGATTGATTGCCAGCTGTGAGCTATGAGGGCAGTGAGGCGCCTGAGAAGAATGAAGGTGAGGCACCTTGAATGCCATAGTTCGCTTCCATGATTGACTTTTGATGATTCCGAAAGTCGACTCAGTGTTGAAAATATCTACGATCATGAAGCCGTGGAATCTCACACGCACCCTCTCTTTGCTCCTCTCAGACCTCTCTCATCTCCTCCCCGCCCCCTCTCTCACTGCACTCCCATCCACGCTCCCCTTCGCGTACCTCCTTAAGACCGTCTCTCGTCTTCCCCTCTGTTTGTCTCTGACCAAAGACCCGGATCTGGACAACACGTGGATCTTAAAGCCGTGGAATCTCGCGCGCAGCATGGATGCAACGGTGTCGCGCCACCTGGCGCAGATCGTACGGCTGGCAGAGAGCGGCCCCAAGGTGGCCCAGAAGTACATCTCCCGCCCCGCGCTCTTCCACGGCCGCAAGTTCGACCTGCGCCTCCTGCTGCTGCTCAAGCGGCTGAGACCCTTGGAGGCTTATTTGTCGGACGTGTTCTGGGTGAGTGGTTGGCTGGGAGGAGTGTGAGGCAGTTCGACCTGCGCTTCCTGCTGCTGCTCAAGAGGCTGAAACCCCTTGAGGCATATTTGTCAGACGTGTTCTGGGTGAGTGGTTGGCTGGGAGGAGTGTGAGGCAGTTCGACCTGCGCTTCCTGCTGCTGCTCAAGAGGCTGAAACCCCTTGAGGCATATTTGTCAGACGTGTTCTGGGTGAGTGGTTGGCTGGGAGGAGTGTGAGGCAGTTCGACCTGCGCTTCCTGCTGCTGCTCAAGAGGCTGAAACCCCTTGAGGCATATTTGTCAGACGTGTTCTGGGTGAGTGGTTGGCTGGGAGGAGTGTGAGGCAGTTCGACCTGCGCTTCCTGCTGCTGCTCAAGAGGCTGAAACCCCTTGAGGCATATTTGTCAGACGTGTTCTGGGTGAGTGGTTGGCTGGGAGGAGTGTGAGGCAGTTCGACCTGCGCTTCCTGCTGCTGCTCAAGAGGCTGAAACCCCTTGAGGCATATTTGTCAGACGTGTTCTGGGTGAGTGGTTGGCTGGGAGGAGTGTGAGGCAGTTCGACCTGCGCTTCCTGCTGCTGCTCAAGAGGCTGAAACCCCTTGGGGCATATCTGTCAGACGTGTTCTGGGTGAGTGGTTTTACTGACTGCCTCTGGGGTCGTATTTATCGGATGTGTTTTTTTTTTTTTTTTTTTTTTTTTTTTATATATATATTTTTTTTTATGCAATAACACACTTATAAGAAAATGTACAGAGCATTGGCAGTCGTAACTGTGTTCTTAGGGAGGCACCGCAACACTGAGTATAGCGGGTTCCCTTTGGCGAGCCTACGGTGGTTGATGCGTCAGCTTCGGGTTATCCCAGAAAGAGCTGAAACTGCTCTTCCACGTCAGCGGCGCTGCCTTGCTGCAGATGCGCCTCATCACCGCCGCCTCGTCAGCTTCCAGAAACTCCCACTCGCTGCTGCCGCCCACTGTACCCTTCTTCCTTGCAGCCACTTGTTTAGCCAAACAGTAGACTCGTGCATGCGCGACGAACTTGACCACCACCTGCCTCAGCACCCGCTTCGGTTGAAACTTGATGTCCCGGTTCACCGCGTCACATCTTGCCAGCCACACCTGGTGAAGCGTGGTGGCAATGAAGGAGCTCTCCGGAAATCCTGACCGTGAACTCCTCTGCATGAAGAGCAGGTCCTCGAGCCCTTGCCAGCCGTTTTGAGGGTTCATAGCGGCCAGCCCATTCCGCAGGAACCTCACCACCTTTTGAATTACCGGGCAGCCAAGCAGGCAGTGCTCCGGTGTCTCTTGGATGTGTTCTGGGTGAGTGAGTCCGGTGGAATGCCGCATGCTGCTTGGTTGATTGCTGCGCTCTTCACGTTCGTTGTCTCACAAGGTGTATCAGCAAGCAGAGAACTCCCGTTAAGTCTTTCGACTTCTGAAGCTGCTCAATGTTCTCAACCGGCACCTACCATTCCTTGCATGCTTCCATGACTCACCCCGCCTTGCTTGCACCCACCAGGCGCGCATCACCGACAAAGAATATTCCCAAGCAGAGGACTCGCTGTCAGGCTTTAGATCTCTGAAGAGGCTAGAAAGTCTTACCATACACCCCCTCCCCCTCACATGATTCCATGTGTCGCCCCTCCTACCATGCACCATAAGGCACGCATCACCAACAAGGCATACTCCCAAGCAGAGGACTCCCTTTCAAACTTGTAACTGCTGAAGTGGATCAAGATTTTCACCCTGCACCTCCCATTTCTTGCATGCTTGCGTGATTCACCCCTCCTCGCCCTCCCATGCACCACCAGGCGCGAATCGCCAACGAGGCGCATTCCCAAGCAGAGGACTCCCTTTCAAAGTTCCAGACACACTTCACTCAAAAGACATAATTGCTGAAACGGCTCAAAAGACTCGCCCTGCACTTCCTGTGCCGCGCGTGATTCAAGCGTGTCACCCCTCCTCCCATGCACCTCCAGGCGCGAATCGCCAACAAGGCATACTCTCAAGCAGAGGACTCCCTGTCAGACTTCGAGACACACTTCACTGTCATGGTATGGTGTAGTGCGGTGTGGTGTGGTGCTGCTATATGCATGGCACATCATGGTGTGGTGTGGTGCTGCTATATGCATGGCACATCATGGTGTGGTGTGGTGCTGCTATAGGCATGGCACATCATGGTGTGGTGTGGTGCTGCTATATGCATGGCACATCATGGTGTGGTGTGGTGCTGCTATATGCATGGCACATCATGGTGTGGTGTGGTGCTGCTATATGCATGGCACATCATGGTGTGGTGTGGTGCTGCTATATGCATGGCACATCATGGTGTGGTGTGGTGCTGCTATATGCATGGCACATCATGGTGTGGTGTGGTGCTGCTATATGCATGGCACATCATGGTGTGGTGTGGTGCTGCTATATGCATGGCACATCATGGTGTGGTGTGGTGCTGCTATATGCATGGCACATCATGGTGTGGTGTGGTGCTGCTATATGCATGGCACATCATGGTGTGGTGTGGTGCTGCTATATGCATGGCACATCATGGTGTGGTGTGGTGCTGCTATATGCATGGCACATCATGGTGTGGTGTGGTTCTGCTATATGCATGGCACGTCATGGTATGGTGTGGTGCTGCTATATGCATGGCACGTCATGGTGTGGTGTGGTGCTGCTATATGCATGGCACATCATGGTGTGGTGTGGTGCTGCTATATGCATGGCACGTCATGGTGTGGTGTGGTGCTGCTATATGCATGGCACATCATGGTGTGGTGTGGTGCTGCTATATGCATGGCACATCATGGTGTGGTGTGGTGCTGCTATAGGCATGGCACATCATGGTGTGGTGTGGTGCTGCTATATGCATGGCACATCATGGTGTGGTGTGGTGCTGCTATAGGCATGGCACATCATGGTGTGGTGTGGTGCTGCTATATGCATGGCACATCATGGTGTGGTGTGGTGCTGCTATATGCATGGCACATCATGGTGTGGTGTGGTGCTGCTATATGCATGGCACATCATGGTGTGGTGTGGTGCTGCTATAGGCATGGCACATCATGGTGTGGTGTGGTGCTGCTATATGCATGGCACATCATGGTGTGGTGTGGTGCGGCTATATGCATGGCACATCATGGTGTGGTGTGGTGCTGCTATATGCATGGCACATCATGGTGTGGTGTGGTGCTGCTATATGCATGGCACGTCATGGTGTGGTGTGGTGCTGCTATATGCATGGCACATCATGGTATGGTGTGGTGCTGCTATATGCATGGCACGTCATAGTGTGGTGTGGTGCTGCTATATGCATGGCACATCATGGTGTGGTGTGGTGCTGCTATATGCATGGCACATCATGGTATGGTGTGGTGCTGCTATATGCATGGCACGTCATGGTGTGGTGTGGTGCTGCTATATGCATGGCACGTCATGGTGTGGTGTGGTGCTGCTATATGCATGGCACATCATGGTGTGGTGTGGTGCTGCTATATGCATGGCACATCATGGTGTGGTGTGGTGCTGCTATATGCATGGCACATCATGGTGTGGTGTGGTGCTGCTATATGCATGGCACAGCAAGGTGTGGTGTGGTGCTGCTATATGCATGGCACATCATGGTGTGGTGTGGTGCTGCTATATGCATGGCACATCATGGTGTGGTGTGGTGCTGCTATATGCATGGCACATCATGGTGTGGTGTGGTGCTGCTATATGCATGGCACGTCATGGTGTGGTGTGGTGCTGCTATATGCATGGCACATCATGGTGTGGTGTGGTGCTGCTATAGGCATGGCACATCATGGTGTGGTGTGGTGCTGCTATATGCATGGCACATCATGGTGTGGTGTGGTGCTGCTATAGGCATGGCACATCATGGTGTGGTGTGGTGCTGCTATATGCATGGCACATCATGGTGTGGTGTGGTGCTGCTATAGGCATGGCACATCATGGTGTGGTGTGGTGCTGCTATATGCATGGCACATCATGGTGTGGTGTGGTGCTGCTATATGCATGGCACATCATGGTGTGGTGTGGTGCTGCTATATGCATGGCACATCATGGTGTGGTGTGGTGCTGCTATAGGCATGGCACATCATGGTGTGGTGTGGTGCTGCTATATGCATGGCACGTCATGGTGTGGTGTGGTGCTGCTATATGCATGGCACATCATGGTGTGGTGTGGTGCTGCTATAGGCATGGCACATCATGGTGTGGTGTGGTGCTGCTATATGCATGGCACATCATGGTGTGGTGTGGTGCTGCTATAGGCATGGCACATCATGGTGTGGTGTGGTGCTGCTATATGCATGGCACATCATGGTGTGGTGTGGTGCTGCTATAGGCATGGCACATCATGGTGTGGTGTGGTGCTGCTATATGCATGGCACATCATGGTGTGGTGTGGTGCTGCTATATGCATGGCACATCATGGTGTGGTGTGGTGCTGCTATATGCATGGCACATCATGGTGTGGTGTGGTGCTGCTATATGCATGGCACATCATGGTGTGGTGTGGTGCTGCTATATGCATGGCACATCATGGTGTGGTGTGGTGCTGCTATATGCATGGCACATCATGGTGTGGTGTGGTGCTGCTATATGCATGGCACATCATGGTGTGGTGTGGTGCTGCTATATGCATGGCACGTCATGGTGTGGTGTGGTGCTGCTATAGGCATGGCACATCATGGTGTGGTGTGGTGCTGCTATAGGCATGGCACATCATGGTGTGGTGTGGTGCTGCTATATGCATGGCACATCATGGTGTGGTGTGGTGCTGCTATATGCATGGCACATCATGGTATGGTGTGGTGCTGCTATATGCATGGCACGTCATGGTGTGGTGTGGTGCTGCTATATGCATGGCACGTCATGGTGTGGTGTGGTGCTGCTATATGCATGGCACATCATGGTGTGGTGTGGTGCTGCTATATGCATGGCACATCATGGTGTGGTGTGGTGCTGCTATATGCATGGCACATCATGGTGTGGTGTGGTGCTGCTATATGCATGGCACAGCAAGGTGTGGTGTGGTGCTGCTATATGCATGGCACATCATGGTGTGGTGTGGTGCTGCTATATGCATGGCACATCATGGTGTGGTGTGGTGCTGCTATATGCATGGCACATCATGGTGTGGTGTGGTGCTGCTATATGCATGGCACGTCATGGTGTGGTGTGGTGCTGCTATATGCATGGCACATCATGGTGTGGTGTGGTGCTGCTATAGGCATGGCACATCATGGTGTGGTGTGGTGCTGCTATATGCATGGCACATCATGGTGTGGTGTGGTGCTGCTATAGGCATGGCACATCATGGTGTGGTGTGGTGCTGCTATATGCATGGCACATCATGGTGTGGTGTGGTGCTGCTATAGGCATGGCACATCATGGTGTGGTGTGGTGCTGCTATATGCATGGCACATCATGGTGTGGTGTGGTGCTGCTATATGCATGGCACATCATGGTGTGGTGTGGTGCTGCTATATGCATGGCACATCATGGTGTGGTGTGGTGCTGCTATAGGCATGGCACATCATGGTGTGGTGTGGTGCTGCTATATGCATGGCACGTCATGGTGTGGTGTGGTGCTGCTATATGCATGGCACATCATGGTGTGGTGTGGTGCTGCTATAGGCATGGCACATCATGGTGTGGTGTGGTGCTGCTATATGCATGGCACATCATGGTGTGGTGTGGTGCTGCTATAGGCATGGCACATCATGGTGTGGTGTGGTGCTGCTATATGCATGGCACATCATGGTGTGGTGTGGTGCTGCTATAGGCATGGCACATCATGGTGTGGTGTGGTGCTGCTATATGCATGGCACATCATGGTGTGGTGTGGTGCTGCTATATGCATGGCACATCATGGTGTGGTGTGGTGCTGCTATATGCATGGCACATCATGGTGTGGTGTGGTGCTGCTATATGCATGGCACATCATGGTGTGGTGTGGTGCTGCTATATGCATGGCACATCATGGTGTGGTGTGGTGCTGCTATATGCATGGCACATCATGGTGTGGTGTGGTGCTGCTATATGCATGGCACATCATGGTGTGGTGTGGTGCTGCTATATGCATGGCACGTCATGGTGTGGTGTGGTGCTGCTATAGGCATGGCACATCATGGTGTGGTGTGGTGCTGCTATAGGCATGGCACATCATGGTGTGGTGTGGTGCTGCTATATGCATGGCACATCATGGTGTGGTGTGGTGCTGCTATAGGCATGGCACATCATGGTGTGGTGTGGTGCTGCTATATGCATGGCACATCATTGTGTGGTGTGGTGCTGCTATAGGCATGGCACATCATGGTGTGGTGTGGTGCTGCTATATGCATGGCACATCATGGTGTGGTGTGGTGCTGCTATATGCATGGGACATCATGGTGTGGTGTGGTGCTGCTATATGCATGGCACATCATGGTGTGGTGTGGTGCTGCTATATGCATGGCACATCATGGTGTGGTGTGGTGCTGCTATATGCATGGCACATCATGGTGTGGTGTGGTGCTGCTATATGCATGGCACATCATGGTGTGGTGTGGTGCTGCTATATGCATGGCACATCATGATGTGGTGTGGTGCTGCTATATGCATGGCACATCATGGTGTGGTGTGGTGCTGCTATATGCATGGCACATCATGGTGTGGTGTGGTGCTGCTATATGCATGGCACATCATGGTGTGGTGTGGTGCTGCTATATGCATGGCACATCATGGTGTGGTGTGGTGCTGCTATATGCATGGCACATCATGGTGTGGTGTGGTGCTGCTATATGCATGGCACATCATGGTGTGGTGTGGTTCTGCTATATGCATGGCACGTCATGGTATGGTGTGGTGCTGCTATATGCATGGCACGTCATGGTGTGGTGTGGTGCTGCTATATGCATGGCACATCATGGTGTGGTGTGGTGCTGCTATATGCATGGCACGTCATGGTGTGGTGTGGTGCTGCTATATGCATGGCACGTCATGGTGTGGTGTGCTACTGCTATATGCATGGCACATCATGGTGTGGTGTGGTGCTGCTATATGCATG